GGTCGTATGGTATATACAAGAGAGGAGCTAGATATAATATATTTCGCCGAAAGCAAATGGAGCCTCTACCCTTCGATTTTCCTTTTCTTCCTACTCTCGTCCACTCCGATGGCTACACCAACAGGTGAGACATACTCGCGATCGAATGATTTCAATCTTTCGTAATTATTCACCAGCATGATTGCTAGGGTCGATGACCAGCTGAAGGAACCATCGAAACGACGCCGACACCACCGAAATGGACCCAGTGATGTGATATATTGAACTTTTCGGAGGTCTGCAGGGAATGAAGAAAGAGACATCAGAATTTTAACCAATTAATCCTTTTGTCCTTTAATCCTCGCTTTTTTTTCTGGAACTTTTCCCACTGTAGTTGAATTAGCATGCTGAAATTTCGTTCGAATTCGCTCGGCAGAGGTAGAACTGTTCTTTCGGCAGGCCTTTAATTGCAGATGGATTTCATGAGCTTTTTCTTCAATCATTCACAGTTGAATCAGTCGGTATCAGCGAAGAGACTGCTCCGTTTATTCGGATTTCATAGTCCGTTTTCAATTGCCGATTTCTTTCGAAGAAACTCTCGAAGTCACACGAGCCCACGTTGGGCACGAATCGCCGGACCGCGACCCTTGCATCTCCTCGCTTTCACGACCGGCATGAACTCGAGGAAGTCGCAGCGACGGCATTCCACTGCGACGGTGCATGGCGAGCGAAATGAGACCGCGATCCTCCCTGCACGCACAGCGAGCCCCTGTCATCCAGTCACTCAGTCATCCAGTCGCTCTGTCCTCCTGTCATCCAGTCGCCCTGTCATCCAGTGTTGGATGTCGCGGGTGAGGGGACAGCGCCTAGTGCAAGCTGCAAGCTGCGCTTTACGCAGCTAGCAGCTTAGGCTTGCATACGCCTAAGCCGTGAGAAAGCATGCGGAGGATCCCAACCTGAAGATTCGACGAGTCACATGCAGGACTCTAAGCACGGGAGTCTGTACTTACAGTTCGTGTCAGGGAAGGGCCAAGCACCTGACCGTCTCCTTGGACTGTCTTGTACAGTATTTTCTCCTTGAGGAAAAATAATAATGCGGTAAGATACGTTGTGGTCAGTCTTCCCTTGACCGAACACTGTTCGCCTTTTCAAATTTGTATTTTCTCGGATCGAGGAAAGGAAGGATTCGAACCCTGACCTCTTTTCGCTACATTATTCGTGGAAATTTCCCACGAGATACGCTTGAATTCCTCAACCATTCCAATTGATGATGCCACGTTTACTTTCGACTTCGCCCCCTCTTCCCAAGAATTCTGGGGCGAAATGGGGCAAGAGGGAAAGGGGGGCAAGCATCAGGGGGCAGGGGGGCATGTGTAACCTCTCTGGAAGACACGCCGAACGGGAATCGACAATACCATTGAAAAGTTCCATGCTGTTCCGTTGTGACTCGCCAGCCGACCGATTTCGACAGATTCGGCACCATTTCAAGCATTGACAGAAGTAAATCACAAAAAAATGAAGCAGCTTCGTGTCAGAACTTCCAAATAGACCGGGCTGTAATGAGAATATGACCTATGGACTTCTAGTACCTCAGGGGTACTTTTCAGGGATCGAAGCCCCGTGCAGGGTGCTCGAAAACACAGCGAAAATATGAAAAAGCCGTACGCATACGTTCGAGGGACCGCAAGAATTGCAAGAACTGCAATGCAATTCCCTCTGGAAATGCAGTCGTGACAGGCAAACACTCCAGCAAGCACTCGGACGCGAGCGCACCCCCTCTCTCCCCGCCCCCTCCCCTCCCCCGTCTGTCAACAGTTGGAGGCGAACGTATGACAGATATTCTCTTGCGGAGGAATTCGGAGGGAGGAAGGAGGCAAGGGGAGGGAAGGGAGGGGGCAAGGGGGGGGGGGAGGGGCAATTGGGGGAGTCTACTTTGGAATGTTCGCTCGGGGCAAAGATTCCTCCCGGACCGGAATATCGAAAGGAAATATTGGGGATTCAGGATGAGTGTATCGGTTTCCGGACTTTGGTCGCATTTTCCGCCTAGTCCGTTTCCCAGGCGGATTCCAGGCGGATTTCAGGCGGAAAGGTTGCACGGAACACGGAAGTTTTATGGGGCGTGTGCGCTCTTTAGAGACGTGCGGAGACGCTCGGATATCGTCGATCTGCAGAGAATTATATGCAAAATATTTTTGTAATTACTGCCGTGGGAAATAGTCACGAAGGAGGAATTTATATAATTACGTATTTAATATGAAATTAATTACTCAAGATTATGCACATTATTAGTTGCTGGTTGAGAGGTTCATTCAAATTATTTGATTTACTTTCCCATCCAGTAATTCATCGATGAATGACGTATTATTTACAAAAAAAAATTGACTTAAGTTTCCTTTAAAATGCAACTTTATTGAATACCCTCGATTTTCTATTTTACAAATCTCACAGTGTTTAGAGACTAATTATTTGAACAATTTCGTTGGCAGAAGCTTGACATATTAATATAAATTATCAATCAAGTACCGGTACGAATTCTTAATATTAAATAATTGCTACGAGGCTTGAAATTTCTTTTAAATGAATTTGAATCAAGTTCATCGAGTCGTTCATGAGTTATTCATGAGTTATTCACACTATCCATCAACAGGAGTCTGATGAGATAAAAAGAGTTCTATTCGAGTTTCCGTAGAATCGCACAAATTGTTTCTTTAAACGTTTACGTTTAATTTTTTTATATTTAAACATTTTATTAATTTCTATAATTTTTTAAATCCTGGAATCGCCGCTTATTTCAGGCGAGTTCGAGTGGGAATTCCGATCCGATTCGTGGCAATCCGGATCCAATTCGTGAACTTTCCTAGTCCATATTCGACACGGAAACGTTCCCGAAGCAATTATTTCTGATTTTGCGACACGTTTTTAGCTGCTTTCTCGTTACGAAACGTGACCGATTTCGCCACGATCGGCTCCATAAAACTCTGTTATCGGTTTTGCGGTTTTCCCTTTGTCAAACCACATCGGTTTTGCACTCTCCCAGGACCAGGGAATTTCTCGTTTTCTCGGGATTAGGATTAGGATTCTACGATCTCGAGAAATTTCGCACCGCCAACATTTCCACGAATTCGCAGACGATTCTCTTCTTTTTTTTTTTCTCGCGCCGCTCAATCATCATTGGATTCCATCCGAAAGTTCCCAAACGTTTAATTAATGTCGGCCTTCACGGGCACTGCAGAAATAAGGCAGTGAAAAAAAAAGGCCGTTTTCCGGACCAATAACCGACAAGAAACGGTCACGTCCCGTCAAGCCCCATCCAATAACCCCCCAACCATCCAACCTTTCAACCATCCACCCCTACGAGCCTCCACCCCTCCAACCATCCACCCTTCCGAGCTTCCATCCCTCCGACCATCCAACCCTATAATCCTCCAACCCTCCACCTCTCAACCCTCCGACGCTCCAACCCTCCAATGTTTCATCCCTGCAACCCTCCAGCCATCCACCGATCCTCCATCATCTCCGTTCACCCCGAAGCCTCTTCGAGAATGCAGAGGCCAGGCAGAGTGAAGCGGAACCCCGCTGACAAACCGAATGGGTTCGAGTGGAGAAAGTTGATTTTGTTTCCAAGCGGTTTCTTGTCGCCCCGCATGCGGTCCACGCTTCTCCATCACTTCATCGCCCCCCCTCCCTCCCCCTTTTTCCTCGCACGCTCATCACGTCCAATTTTGGCAATAGATTATTTAAATTTTGCGTGGAATTCAAACGTCCCGGAAATACTAATTTAAAAAATTAATTTAGGAATTTTTTTTTCGCTAAGTTTTCCGCTCGTAGCACCACGGCCGTCATTAAGGTGGAAAAAAATCTTAAAGGCTCTTCAGGACGGGGCGATTTATATATATATATATTCATTGATGCAGGGTCAGAACGATTACGCAGCGCCGAAATGCAGAAATACCGATGCTCGTTCCTTGAGACAGCAGAAAATAAAAATTTCCTCAGATATTTACAAACGATTCCTTGGAGCTCGGCAACTTTTGAGGTTTTGGAGCCTTAGTCGCATTTGGCGACGGGAAGGCTACAAGTTGAAGCGGTTCACGTCGGAGGGCAAACTTTCGAGAAATTTCACGAGAATTTGCCGGCGTTTGCATCAAGTTTTACGAAATTCCAGGACATCTCATTCGATTTCCTCGTGATTTCTTCGCTTCACGGAGAAGTGAAACATTTTTTTTTAAATCCCACGATGAAAGGAAACGCGAGAACGAAAATGGACGGCTGGCCGGATGCTCGCCTGCGTCGCGAGTGTCTCGGTCAAAGGACTGCGGTCAACTCCGACTCTGGGTCAGGAGGGAAAAAAGGGAAACAAAAAGGAGAACATTGGAGTTACCGTTCGTTAGTCACGGTCTCATGCTCTTTGGAGAATCCAGTTTACTTTTTATCCTCTACTCAGCCTCCTTTCACTGACTTGGAACATCCCCATCACATCCCCACCACATCCCCATCACATCCCCATCACACCCCCTCCATGTAATGGTCTTCACTTTATTGCCCCTCTAGGGCCTTATGTCATATGCTTCGGGCTCCGGGGGGGGGGGGGGGGGGGGGGGACGGAATGAAA